GACAGTTACCCTGAATCTCAAAGTGGGGAAACTGTCCTGCTTGATAGGGCTTAACGGTTTCCCCATTTATTGCTACCACCTGGGCATATGCTTGGCTCAGTGTGTCGTCAGCCCGTTGCCTTTCCACAAAGTCAGAGAGGTGCGTCAGAATCTCAGACTTGGGTAGTGGGGACAGTTCCTTAGCTGGCTGGGAGTGGGGCTAGTCTGGTTTAGGGGTATAAAATGTTGACTGTTAACTGGTAAGCATTAGTCTGACTGGTTAACCCGCCTTAACTATTAGCCTCCAGGCCGGCCTGCCCTGCCCTGCACCAGCCGACCCTTTAATTGGTTAACAGCTTAAACAAAAATTTTTTATTGTTTAAATGGTTAACTTTTTAAATGGTATTTACATCCCTAGTCTGGTTAGGTTGGTACTGAAGACTGAGATATCCCCTCACCAGGGTCTGCAGCCTCCTCCGTGACCACAAGGGTCGCGGCTTCAGGCCAGCCTGTGGTCAGAGGAAGGGCGTTCTGTCCATCAGAAGTGGGTCTTATCAGCTCTGTTAACAACTCCCCAGAATAGCTCCGATCTCTGCCTAGAATCAGTGGGTAGGTGAGTGTCGGGGCCAGACCGACCATCATGGACTTCTCCTGTCTCCCCACCGTCAATGTTACTTCCGGGTGGGGGGCCCTCCTGTCCCCATGAACACACTGTAGCATGATGGTGCCCTGAGTTAGTAACCACCGTGCTTTGATACAAGGGTCTGGGCACACCCCGAATCCACCAGCCCCACTACTTCTCTCCCATTTACCCACACCGGGATGGTCAGTTTAGTTGGGTTGCCTTGACGTGCTTGGGTCTGTGGGGTCCAGATCTTCTGAAAGCTGTATTCCATATAAGGACAATCTCTGGACCAATGCCCAGAACAGCCATATGTGAAATACTGATCTGGATCTTGGGTGGTGCGAGTGGCTCCCTGTCTGGGTATCTGGGTAGTCTCTTCCCAATGGGCCTCCCTGAGTTCTGGACCACCTTCTGAACCTCCAGGGGGCCAGTGGTTCCTTGACTTTGCTGTGAGCAAATGGTTCTGGGGCTCTCGTTTGGGGAACCTCTGGGCATTTTGGTCCTTGGGCCCCCTGGAGCTCTGGAAAGAGGGGGAGCATGTCTATGCCGCTCAAGGGACCGGACTCCATGGAAGGTTCCATCCTTTGGTAGTATGGGGCTCTTGGTCCCGGCCAGTCCCTGGGGGGATGTCGTCATGGGGGACTTGGCAGCTAGGTAATTCTCAGTGAGCTGGATGGCATCTGTCATACAGATGATACCGCAACATCCACTCTCTTCCCCCGAGGGGCAGGATCTGGACAAACTGCTCTAACAGGACCAGTTCAACGACCTGCGTTCCCGACTTTGCCTCGGGCTTGAGCCATCTCAAGCATGTGTTCCGCGGCTTCTGGGTGACCAGATGGGGTCAGGTTCCCTGTGGATACCGCTCCCCCGGAAGCACTGACAGAATGTCCCCTCCGACATGTCTAGGGCATCGAGTATCGCTACCTTAACCCGGGCATGTTCCTTGGCGGCTGCAGGGTCTAAAGCATGCTATGTGGTCTGTGCTACCCTGATTAAGCACTGCAGCCAGTTGGTCTCAGGGCTACTGTGGCTACCCTCTCAAAAGTTTCTAAGAAAGCTTAGGATCATCATCAGGCCCCAACTTGGTAAGCCTGATGGAGGCATGTTAATCAATTCTGCTGGAGCACTGGGTGGCAGTATGGAGGCCACCTGCTGGACCAGCTGCTGCTGCTGGGCTGCCAATTCGTGGATTTGCTGCTGCATGGCTGTCTGCTGCAGGAGTTGCTGCTGTTGATGGTGGGTGTTTTGCTCAGCCATCAATTTCAGCATCTGTTCTATCTCCATTCAAGAGCTTTCTTTTTGTTTTGGGTTTTGTTTTGTTTTTAAATTCCCTTCAGCAGGGACTAGGTCATTGCCTCCATTCTCTACCACTTGTGATAGAGCCTTCGGTGGCCAGGTGGCCTAGTGGCTAGATTGTTGGTCAGAGGGGTTGGAGGGGGACCCAGACCCTCCCCAGGGCCTGGTGTAGTTTGACCCCTAAACAGGGATTGATGGGTCTGCCTGTCTGCTGGGGTGGCTTTCAAGACCTGTTTCCCTGGGCTACTTCCTATTAAAGTCTCTCTAATATGTGGCAGGGCCCTTCTAGTTCAGTTATCCCACAGTTGGGGCTGAGTTGCAGGCTCCCCTTGGCAGGGCAAGGCTGATTTGTCTCCCGTAGCTGCGAAAACTCCTGCCAGTCAGCCCCCAACTGAGCCTGGCTCCCTTCTTTCCGTGCCCTTCTTGGCCTGGCATTGGCTGCAGATATAGCAGGGTGGGGCTAGCTGAGCCCACATGTTTTCTTTAACCCGTGTGTGCCAGGCGTCAGTTTCTTTGCTGCTTCACAGTAATGTTTTACATCTTCCAAACTCTTTTACAATTTAGAAAAATGCTTAAATTATGGTGTAATATAATTTTTTTTTGCGAGATCTTTTCTCTTCTCCACCCGCCAAAGCCATATTATGTACCTGGGAATGGTTTGGGTGCAAGAGAAGGGGAAGACATGTAGGGAGAAATGTAGAATTTACATCCATACATATTCCCGTTTTTTTTTATGAAGGGCTCAGTTCCAACTGGCGATAGTGTGTGCACTCCTTGGGAAAATCTGATACTGCTTTTTTTTTATTGCTAAAACCATATTGAAAATATCCTGTTCCTCCAGCTATTTTAAAAAATGCTATAAATCACATGGCTTCCTGTGATGTCATGTATGTCATTGTAGGGGTGGGAAAGGTAGATGATGTACTTTGTTTTTCAGAAATTAGCTTAGAAAAGTTTGACCTTCATCTGCAGGAAATAGAGATACAGGGAAGCAGTGTTTTAATGCCCAGAAAAGTAAGGAAGAATTATAAAGACAGGAAAGGGAAAAATATCTTTAAACATAAGCTCTCATTGTTACCCTTTTCACTTCTTATTTATTAGGCCAACGCATGTTTGCTATGGCAAGTAATACACTATTTGAACTTTATTGAATAAGAAGTGCTCAAAAACCCAAAAGTTTTTCAGAGCAAATTTTAATGAAAAGAGGAATCCTAATATTCAGAGGAATTGGAATTTGACGTGTGCTGTATTGCAACTGGTAAGATTTGAAATATTGAGTGAATGTTGGGGTAAATCTAAATGACTTTCTCCAGTTAATTATTGAAATAGTTCTTTAGAAGCAAGGAATATGCATGATAGAATGAACATGTTTCTCCTACTCATTTGCCTGGTGATGTATTAGGCCAAAGAGCAAGAACTTCCAGCATGTGGAAGATGAAGATACCTCATTTCATAGCATACATTCATCCTCTAGTGTGACATTCCACTCATAAAATGAACACAGTTAACTATGAAGCAGTCCATTTAAATAATGACACCCTGGCTTAAGGATTGTAAATATAATGAAAACTCTGCTCAAGCTGCTGTCGGTGAAATTGGATGTATATGTAAAATTGGTACTGATTTGACTTGCAGCTTGACCTTAAAGTCCAAGGGTCTGATCCTGCAACCCTTTCTCGAAGTATAAATTCCCCAGGTTGTCAGGACTGCTTGAGTGAGTGAAGATTTGCAGGTTTAGGCTAGCCTCTCTAAATAAAACCTCTCCTGGATATATCAAAGTCAAGAAACACTGCTAACACTCTCGTGGCATCTCCTGCAGTTGAGGTAAACAGCTGAGCTGCTTTCATCACAGAGAGAGAGTTCTAAACACAGGAATGAGAAGGCCTTTGTTCAAAGTGCCACATACATAATTTGCATCTGACGGTTCCTCCCGTGGTCAAACTGAGTTGAGAGGCAGCGAATAAGCCTCTGGGGTAAGACACTGTAGTTTCTTCCCTTCCCTCCCACCATTCTTCTCCTTTCTCAGCAGGCTCCAAAAGGGATTTTTTTTCCAGTTTTCCTTATCCAGGGAGTGAAGTGGGGTGGAACAAAAGGAATCATGTTCCATGTGTCTCCCACTGTTGTGTGTGCCTTCCCCCCACGATTCTCTTCCTTTCACCCCTTCCCAAAATAAAAACCTACAGCTGTGCTTTTAAAAGAGCTGGGTGATAATCTGAGCGGTTCAGCCTCTGCTATAAGGAGTTTGGAGGCAAAGATGCTGGGCTGAAAGAGCTGACTAAGATTATTATACTTTACCACATCTGGTGTCCTGTTCATTTCCTCCGTAAAAATGAATTAAAAAGAAATTTGTTTCCCTGGAGTGTATGGATCTTGGGAGTGTGATCTAGCAAGTTCTGACCTGTATCTCGCTTGTCCCATAACAACACAGGGTAGGATTTTAGTTTGCCAGATTGCTCTGTTTTAATTGTATTATATAACCCTATCTAAACTAGGCATTTGATGGTAAATTGGCATAGAGGGAGTAACCTTTTTTTAATTAACCCTTAAGCACGTTGCATAGGCTAAAAATAAAATTACAGCTGTTGGAACCAGGATTAGTTCAAGGCCCGTGTAGTATTAACATTGTGTTAAAAAAAAAAATCTGTCCTTATTAGCAGGGTTTTGGGTTACAGACCATTAAACGATTAGCATGGGAACCAAGTGCACTGACATGAACTACATGTCAGCATTAAGTTGTGAAATGCTGTTACATTGCATCTCTGTGATAATTTATTTAATTAAAAAAGAAAAGGTTGTTATAGCTTGTCCCTTTATTCTTCTACGCTGGCCCTCCATGAAAACAAGCTTATGGCGAGGGATCCAGACAACTAGTGTGGTCATTGTGAATTTAAATTATGCAGTAACAGGATACAAGGAAAGGGTTCTTGCCTAGACATATGTTCCTAGAATGTGACTACCTCATTTCTGACACACCTCTATATGGCATAAGGGACTCTGAAGAACTCTCTTCACTTCATCTAAGTATAAATGTCTCTGCATAATGTAACCCTTAGGGATCAGATCTTCAATGTTGTTTTTCTTTTTTTTCCCCTTCTAGTTCTTCCACCAGTGCTGGTTCCAAGACACAGTGAATACAACCCTCAGCACAGTCTCTTGGCTCAATTCCGCAACTTAGGACAAAATGAGCCTCACATGCCACATAATGCCACTTTCCCGGACTCTTTCCAGCAACCCAACAGTCATCCATTCCCCCATTCCCCCAACAGTAGTTATCCCAACTCTCCTGGAAGCAGCAGTAGCACCTATCCACACTCTCCTGCTAGCTCAGACCCAGGAAGTCCTTTCCAGATGCCAGGTAAGTTCACCTTCTGTAAGAGTTAAGGATAGTATAGCTAGATATTGCAAGTATCGTTAAGCAAAAGCATCATCAGCCAGCACTTAAGTGTATGCACTAGCCAGTTGAAGAGATGTTCGGTAACGTGGTGACTAAATCAGGCTGCCTAGCAATAATGTTCAATTTTTAGTCCAGTATTCTTTCTAATGCAGGTAAAATGCTTTGTTTTTGTTTTACAAATCAGCTGCATTTCAAGGGGTGGGGGGAATAGTGTAGTATTGGAGCATTGAGTCCTGGTATAGTGTGGGGGCAGAGGGGCGTTATGCACAGCTAATGTTGTGACAAACAAATATTGCTACAGAATGTCCTTGTTCAGGAAAGAGACCTACTCTTAAATTCAGCATTAGGTTATGGTTCTATAAAAGATGTTTCCCAAGGGGATCACACTACCACCACTTGATTAAATTCATTCAAATGGTGATGTAATCCCAAGAAACAAATGCTTCAGCTGCAAAACAGTCTCTCAGCAGAGGCCCTGGAAAGAAACCTTCAGCATGTCTGTCTTAAAGACAGTGGAACAATTGCCTTTTATTTCCGTTTTGATGGTTGGCTATAAGGTTTTTACAGAAATGTCATCTTTGTCCATGACTAAGTATCGTGAAGAAAGCAGCCTCTGAAAGATGTTTTTGATTTAACTTTCTGCTGCTGGGAGAAGAAGCCTGGGCAAATGGCGTGCTGCCTTCCTTCCTTTGGGGCTGGAGGAGGGAAGGGGGAGAGAGATTTGCAAAAATATACATGTAATTTCTTGTGTCAAGAGGGTGTTCACTGAAGTTAGCTACTGATAGCTGTCTGTCTTCAAAAATTTCCCTTGGTGGGTAAAGACTACTGAACTGTATGCGCTGCGTGCATGTGTTTTGTAATTTCTTCTGAGAAATCCGTAAATGTTATGGTCGTGTCCCCGTTCTCGCGCCCCCCCCCCTCCACATTTTATTTAAGAAACTATAGAATAAAAGCTTGAGAGACTGCTGATCATGATTTTAGGCTCTGGGACTCCCTGTCCCAGTGGATACAGATCAGGTCATAGAGGTCCTATGCTTGGTCTGTAATGGGAAAGGTCTCCTACAGTATCCCCATGCCAGATGTTTTATGGTAGGTCATTGGATTTGGTTTCTGAGGAGTCCTATTTTTGCCTGCATTCCTGGCTAGAGGTAAAGCAGAGTCAGCAGCTGCAGTGGAGAAACTGAATTAGAGGGCGTTGTGGTGGAAAAGATGAAAAGGCATCCATCTTGAGGCCCTCTTAGCCCTGACTCAGTGTTTTGAGTCATTGCCTTAAGATAGGTCTCTTGGCAGACACCCATTTTGAGTTAGTAGGGCAGAAGGAGACCCAGTTGTGAAAATATAAAGGGGAGCAGTACTATATCTAGAAATGTGAAAATTTTACGTTTGCTGGCCTTCCCACAGTACTTTCTCATATGCATGACAGTAGCATAACAATTTCAATTACACAAATCTGTCATAGCTCATTAGAGGCCTAATAAGGAATCAAAATTTTGATCCTCACCCCACAAACTTATTCCATGGTGCATGCCTGCCCACCCTCCATAAAGGGGACTGTTTGTAAGGTCAAGTGGAAAAGGATAGTGACAACTGGAAAAACATAGCTGTAGTATTACTGTAATGCTTTAGTTGAGAGCTTTGTGTTGCTAACTTTAACTAGCTTGAGATTTTGAAGACCAGAAAGTTGCATGAAAGAAATGGTGTAGTTATTGGCCTGTTTGCCTTTTGGTTACTTGTCATAATAGTTGATGACTCACTTATTGATGGAGATAACAGTGATACATAGGCTGCCTACTTGTTCTCTTTTTTGGTGTAGAATGGTAGTAATCAAATCTCATGGACCAAGGCAAAAAGTCTGTGGGGGTCAGGAAGACTTTTTTTAAGCACTCCTAAGAGCCTAAATCCCTTTAGACCATGAGACTTATGCTGTTAAATCATTTTAAGCACTGCAACACTGAGCACAGCAATGCCTAAATACCTTTTAAAAATCTGGGCCTAAATCTCTGTCCTTCAGTTCCCCATTTATAAACTGGTGGTGATATTTCACCGGGATATTGAGGAGAAATTCATTAACACTTGCGGTACGTTCAGATACTACACTGATGGAGGGCCACATTGGAAACAACATCAATGCGATTAGAACCTCTAGACTCCAAATCCTGTGCTCATAGTCTGTTCATGTTCTATATGAATGTAGGGCTGATGGTGCTGAGCATGGAGACATTAATGTATATCCAGTGCCTTGAACTTGTGAAGCACTGTTGACAGAAATGCAGTCAAGCTTTCACTTGTGGATTGATAGTTATAACTACAATAAAAATTACTACTATTTCATACACAGAAATCCTCTGCTTCCCTGAATCAAGGTCCATGATTGCTTTCTCAGATATTCTGATGAGTGGGTGGAAGTTATGGCTGAGTCAGGCTGAAAGTATTTCCAAGTTAATGCTGAACTGTTTATGTGGATATATATGTACATTTTAAAGAGAGGGAGGAATTGTATCTCTGCCTTCTCTATATTTAGCTGATACTCCCCCTCCTGCTTACCTGCCTCCGGAAGATCAGATGACACAGGATGGCTCACAGCCAATGGACACCAACATGATGGCACCCTCAATTCCCCCAGAAATAAACAGAGGAGGTAAAAGGCTTCTATATGCGTTTTTTTTTTCTGCTTGGTTTCTAAAGTGCGAAGAGTTTCATAATTTTTTTTAAGCTGAATATTGATCTGGATTCATATTATTTAACGGAAATATGTAACTGTAGACAATAAGAAAAACTACAGGGAACGTGGTTTCCTTTTCCCCCACCCCCGCTGGGGGTGAAATTATACACTCTTATGAGCCTCTAGGTCTAAAAAAGTCTAAGTGACCGTACATGATTAAATTAAGGCATCGCCATGTTTTAAATGTTGACTTCCAGCCGGAAGAATCCAAAAGCATATTACAAACTCTCATCTGTAACAATCACTGAAGTTAAACCATTCTTATGGTAAAGCATAGTAATTATGTGTAATGGCACAAGCACACCTGTTAACAGGCAGTGAAAGGTATCTATTATGATTATAGTGACTATTGAGACAGTGCTTGATGTTGTATGGTTGATATCCAGTTGGTGGGTGGGTGAATTGAGAGCAGGGAATATAGCTGCCCAAACTGAGATTTTGTCAGGACACTGGCACTAACATCTTTACACTTGTGAAAAGTACTATGGATACTTTAATAAAAATGGTCAGGGTCTCAGTATGCTTTGTCTTCTGAAACACAACACACCCAACCGAAGTGCCTCCTAACCACCATGATATTGCACTGGCTTAGCTCTGATTTCTAGAGAAGAGCATGACACTGAATTGCCAACACTCCTTCCTGCAGCACCTTGGGTTTTTCCTGGGAGCTTGGGGTAGGAATGTTTCCTTTCCCATGTAAGTAGTGACCTGGCATGACCCTCCTTACCTCGTGAGATTGCAGCGTGAGGTGGTATTGTTGCAGGGAAGATGTGTTAAATTCTTTTCATTTTGTTTTACATCGTATGGCACAGACAACTTTTTACACGTGGCTTTTTAAACACATTGCAAATATAAACTGCTGAGTAAAGGATTTAGTGCATTCAACACATGGTGAGAAATAGCCCCCTCTGAGAACACTTAGGCTCACAGTGCCGTGCATCCAGCCAGGAGAGAGAGTAGCAAGTTGAACGCTGTGCCAGAATGATTATAAAGATTACAAGCATATGAACACTTCAGCTATTGTTTAATTTCACTTGAGTTTTGTTGTTAAGCTTAAAATATCTGGGCTCACAAATATATCTGCTCTTCTAATATAATTTATATCGGTGCCGTGTTCGCTTATTTTCCTCCTTCAGAGTGAGCTTGCATTTGATCAGCACCATCTTTGGCATTGTCCATTGTTTTGCTGATCTATACACGACTGCGTACTGGCCTCTGCAGCTGATGAAGGCCCAAAGTGCATTTATCAGTGTTTATACCTAACTCTGCAGACTTCTGCACATTTTTTCCCCTTGTAAATATGCTCTATCTGTGCTGGGGGATTTTTGCATCACATCTGAGACCCGTAACAACCAGAGGGAATGGCTTGCGTTTTTCTTTTCATCTTAAAAGAGCTTTCTACTTTGTTTGTTTTTTAAATCTTTTTTTCTTGCTAGTAAGTTGAATAGTCTCTTTTAATTCACTGTTTCTTGAGTGAGGGAAAAAGACATTTATTTCTTTGCTTATGCTTATATCGTCTGCTCATTCTTTGAGCCCCTGTCTGTGTGCTGTGCCTATCCAGTGTCTAATTGCCCTCCTAAAAGGTCTGCTGTGGTTGTATAAAAACAGTTGTTTCAATAAACTTTTATGTTAAACATTTTAGTTGCAAATGTTTAGAAGCATGTTCTTTATGGAGATTTGTTAGTCTTAAGAGATTTGACTTAACAAGCTGCATCCTGTCACTGAAGCTGGGTAATTTCCATTGTTGGCCCATGCTGGGAATGGAGAGACAAAACGCACCTGCTCTGCATGACTTAAAGCAAACGTAAGGAAGTTAGTATGAAATCTGTGTGAGAGAGATATGATTCATTCTGTAAGAATGGCCAGCTGGCAAGATTTCTTCCTGAGTTTGAGAACTGGGGCAAAGCGGTAGCTTTGGTAGTTACTGGCAACTTAATTTGAAAGCAAAGTGTAGTAACCCCTTACTAATAATTAAAGGCTTCTTTTATTTACAATGATTTGAAAAGGCTTAACAATACTGTGGCTTTACAAAAGTTAAACCCCTTTTCATGAGCATTTCCCAGCATATTCTTGGTCAGCAATGGACATCACACTAGAAAAACCCTGCACCAAGATTTTTGTCTCACAAAGTTTTCGTCGCTGACGTTGCGTAGGCTACATACTTTCCTACTATTTATGTCAGCTAGATAATCACGTTTTAAATTTTTTAAATTCTGCTCATGTCCCTTTTAATCAGAAAAAAAATCAGTGTATGAGAAACATCTTTCTAAGCAAAGGAAAGTATAGAATGTTGGTCTTAAAGTTAATGTTGGCATTGAGAATGCGCTGAAAGGAGAAACAAATTCCTGCAACGTCATTGTCATTTTTGCACTTCGACTTGCATTTAGAGCTGTGATCTGCAGAGCTGCTATCTCAGATTCCTAAACTGTGTACTAAGCACAGAAATAGTCATCCTCTTCACTTTAAAACCCTCACACACAGAACAGCCACATCCTATCTCCTCTTCAACCTCTTTTATTCCTATAAACCTCCTATATTCCGCTTCCTGTGTATAATGTAATCTCATAGCCTTGTAAATTCCCGATTCCATATTATTTTTAAATTGTTGCATAATTATGGTCCAAAATCTAAGCTTTCATTTATTTTTTTCTTTTTAGAAAAGCCTCCTAGCCTTCTGATTGTGGGGGGAAAAAAATCTTCAGAATCTAAACTGAAGCAGTACTGTCTGCTTGAGTTTGCAAAGAGTATGAAACAAATGCTCTGAGATGTGAAATTTGTTTATGCATCTCATTAGGGTGTTAACCCTGAAATCTAGCTACTACATGCACGTTGACTATTTCATTGCTGATCACTTTAATAGAACCGTCAACTGTAATGTACATATTTTTTGTTGTTGGATGTAGTGGCTGATACTGGGGAAGGTCGCTGTGAACCAACCCTATGGTCTGTAGGGCAGGGAAATGAAGAATTCAAACATCCCCTTCCCAAATTTTAAAGTAATTTCTGCACTTGCCCAGGAGGTGAGTGGGGGGGGGGGGGGGGGAGAGATGCATTGCCTTCCCAGATACAAAAGATTAATCTGCCATCTGGATACCAAAAACCCAAGCCATGTGTCACTCCTGCCTGCATGGCCAAAATCCCAGCTGCCTCCTAGGCAGTTGTGAAAACCTCCAGTTGTTCTGACAATTTCTGCTATGTGATTTCTCATCGTTAATAAAGAATTTTGTAACATATAATATTTTAAAAGTTGGTAGTTCTGTACAATAAACTGAGGGAGTACTTCACTGATTTGTCAACACCCAAGGTAGTGCTGATCTAGGTCATATGTTGCACAGAATGCAGGGGTGCTTGATAGGTGTGGTAGTTGAGCCCATAACATGTTCTCTTACTTAAGTACCTGTTGCCAGCTCTGATATTTTTTCCTATGTCTGAAGTTTTGCGAGTAATTTTATCTTAACTTGTATTTGTACAGATTCTTTCTTTGGCTCTGAAAAGTGTTTTTTTTGTTTTTTTTTAATAATTAAATGATAAATGAACTCCATAGAAGATGGCACTTAATTAGCAGTTATTTATCCAAAATTTCTCTCTGTGATCTTAAGCCAAAGCCTACAGGTTGCAGATCTTTAAAGTTCAGAAACATATTAGTTGCAGTGCCATTGATTGTAACCTTTTCTTTGTTTCTTTCCAGATGTTCAGGCAGTTGCTTATGAAGAGCCAAAACACTGGTGTTCTATTGTCTACTATGAGCTGAACAATCGTGTTGGGGAAGCATTTCATGCCTCCTCCACCAGCGTATTGGTAGATGGTTTTACTGATCCTTCAAACAACAAGAACAGATTTTGCCTTGGGCTGCTCTCTAATGTTAACCGGAATTCCACCATTGAGAACACCAGGCGGCATATTGGCAAAGGTGCATTTAGTTTTTCTCTTGTTTAGCTTTCTAGCTAAATGCGGCAATCTGGGCTTCTTGCCTCAAGGACAGACTATCATATACGTTATAAAGTCATGTTCTAATGAACACTGGCAAATACATAATTTCTTTGTCAAGTCCTGTACTCTTGTAAGTTCTCACCTGTTGAATAATTGCAGGAAGCTTTCTATCTTCTAATCAGTTTTTTTGATTGTCTGCAGACTCTCATCAATTTTAATTTTAATTAGCACAACAGTTTAAGGCAGTTGCTTTCTCACACACAGCCCGGCTGTTGATGATTCTGGAAAGCTGAACTATATAACTGCAGACAGCTCTCTGAACAAAATCTTTTTTTTTTCTTGATTAAAGATATCTAAATTGTCTGGCCCTTAAACTCCCTTAAAGGAGTATAGGCCTGCTAAAGTAATATTCCAAATACAGTTTAAAGGAGGGATTTTCAGAAGTCCAAAGGACAGTTCATGGTATTCCTGTTTTCGTGCCTTTGACAGTCTTCTCCCAAAAGAATTGATCTTTGTTTTTAATTTAGCTTCATAATAGTCCATTTTGAGGGGAATGTTGTCATGTAAATTAAATCCAGACTAACTTTATTTTAATTTTTGTGGTAGCAAATGTTGTGTTTGTACAACACCTAGCAGTGGTATTGTAAAAGTACTTTGTTCATCTTTAGGCAGGGAAAAAATTCTGAAGATTTTTTTTTTTTTTTTTTTTTCCGGAGAGAGGTCCTTGGAGCTTTGTAACCAAAAAATTGTATTTCAGGGGAAGGGTTATATTGCCTTTTTTATATTGAGGCCCTATGAAATGGGTTTAGAGGGACAGCTGTCTTTGAATGTCTTCCTATTCTTTTTTTTTTATGCTTGGAGATCAGTTTCTTACAGTGATGTTGTTCTGGATCTCACAGGAAACAGTTTTGAAACTGAGCTTGTGCCTCAGGGAGATTAGTTTTCATACAGTTTATTATTCTGAAAAGCAACCTTTAGCTAAGAAAAACTTTTTCCATGCTAGTACCTGTGCTGCTCCCAGGTTCATACTCAGAGGTTGTGCCACTAAGTCTTGTTCCTTCTCTTTTTTTTCTCCACCCCAGAAAGTATCTATGTACTTTATATAACACTTTGTTCATTTTCCATTTAAACCTATAAAAGTAAACTTTTAAAAGCAGCCTCGTTGCAAGCAAAGTTCTACTGAAACGTTAACTGTACAGATACCAGAGGTACTATAACATTAACTGTACCAGATACCAGTCCTTCAAAAGTTGGAAGTCAGATCCTAGTGAGGATAATAAGAAGGTGCACAAACTCTCTTACAACTTAAGTGTAAAAGTATAATAAGGCAGGCCAGGAAAGTTTTTGTCTCTTTAACAAGTTCTAACAGTAAGATATTTACATCAGAAACAGGAAGTCTGCCAAACAGGTGCCACTAAACAACTAAGGTGTTAAAGGAGCATGCAAGGAAGACGAGGCCATTGCACAGAAGCTAAGTGAATTATTTGCATTGGTCTTCACTGCACAGGATGTGGGTGAGATCTCACATTAGAATTATCCTTTTTGGGTGACACATCTGAAGTACTGTCCCACATCGATGTGTCCATAGAGAATGTTTTAGAACAAACTGATAAATTGAACTGTAATAAGTTACCAGGACCAGATGGTATTCACCCATAGTTCTGAAGGAACTCAAATGAAATTGCAGAACTACTAACTGCAGTATGTAACCTATTGCTGGAAATAAGCCTCTCAACCAGATGACTGGAAGGTAGCGAGTGTAACACCTGTTTTTAAAAAAGGGCTCCGGAGGTGATTCTGGCAATTGCAGGCTAGTAAACCTAACTTTAGTACTGCGCAAATTGGTAGTTCAGTTATTTACTATAGTGTGTTGTGTTATATTTATATATATATATATACATATACACACACAGACACAGAGATTCATAGATATTTAGGTCAGAAGGGACCATTATGATCATCTAGTCTGACCTCCTGCACAACGCAGGCCACAGAATTTCACCCACCACTCCTGCAAAAAACCTCTCACCTATTTCTGTGCTATTGAAGTCCTCAAATCGTGGTTTAAAGACTTCAAGGCGCAGAGAATCCTCCAGCAAGTGACCCGTGCCCCATGCTACAGAGGAAGGCAAAAAACCTCCAGGGCAGATTGGAAGAGGCCCTGGAGGAAAGTTCCTTCCCGACCCCAAATATGGCGATCAGCTAAACCCTGAGCATATGGGCAAGATTCATCAGCCAGATACTACAGAAAATTCTTTCCTGGGTAACTCGGATCCCACCGCATCTAATATCCCATCACAGGCCATTGGGCCTATTTACCGTGAATATTTAATTACCAAAACCATGTTGTCCCATCATACCATCTCCTCCATAAACTTATCAAGAGATAAACATGATTTGTTGGGAAAAGTCAACATGGCTTTTGTAAAGAGAAGTTATGCCTCACCAGTCTACTAGAATTCTTTGAGTGTGTCAGCAAGCATGTGGGTAAGGGTGATCAAGTTGATATAGTGTACTTGGATTTTCAGAAAGCCTTTGACAAGATTCCTCACCAAAGGCTCCTAAGAAAACTAAGTAGTTATGGCCTAACAGGAAAGGGCCTCTCATGCTGGTTGAAAGATGGGAAACAAAGAGTAGGAATAAAAAGTCAGTTTTACGAATGAAGAGGTAAACAGCAGGGTCCCCCAAGGATCTGTACTAGAACCTGTGCTGTTCAGCATATTCATTAATGACCTGGAAAAGGGAGAGAACAGTGATGTGGCAAAGTTTGCAAATGATGAAAAATTATTCAAGATAGTTAAATCCAAAGCTGACTGTGAAGAGTTGCAAAGGGATATCACAATACTGGGTAACTGAACAACATAATGGCACGTGAAATTCTAGGTTGAGAAGTACAAAGTAATGAATGCTGGGGAGAAAAATCCCACCTACACATATACAAGGATGGGTTCTAAATTAGCTGTTACCACTCAATAAAGAGATCTTGGAGTCACCGTGGATAATTATCTGAAAATTTCAGCTCACTGCACAGCAGCAGTCAAAAAGGCTAATGGAATGTTAGGAACTATTTAGGAAGGGATAGAAAATAAGACCGAAAATATAAGTCCACTATATAAATCCCTGGGGTGCCCATACCTTGAATATTGTGTCCAATTATAGTCACCCATCTCAAAAAGAATATAGTGGAACTGGAAAGATTCAGAAAAGGGCAACTAAGATAAGAGTATGGAATGGCTTCCCTGCGAGGAGGGACTAAAAAGATTAGGGCTGTTGAGTTTTAGAAGCGATATGACGAAGGGAGGCTATGATAGAGCTCTATAAAAACATGAATGCTGTGGAAAAAGTGAATAGAGAAGCATTTAACCTTTCCCACAATGCAAAAATCAGGGTCACCCAATGAAGTTAATAGGGAGCAGGTTTAATACAAACAAGATGAAGTACTTTTTCACACAAAGCACAATTAACCTGTGGAACTCATTGCCATGGAATGTTGTAATGGCAAAAGTATAGCTGGGTTAAAAAAAAGAGTTAAATAAGTTCACTGAGGATAGGTCTGTTGATGGCTATTAACCAAGATGGTCAAGGATGCAACCCCAGGCTCAGGGTGACCCTAAACCTCTGATTGCCAGAAGCCAGGAGGGGGAACACAGGGAAGGATCACTCCAACTGCCCTGTTTAAGACCGTTCCCCTGAAGCTCTGTATTAGCCACTGTTGGAGACAGGATGCTGGGTGAGATTGACCATTGATCTGACCCAGTATGGCCATTCTTCTGTTTTCATGTTCTTATATAGAAACGCCATTTAAATCTCCCCCTTTGTAAGAAGAACAGATTCACAGCTTGAAGACGTGGCCACAGATTGTTTTGTTGTTAAGATGATATGGGAGTTATGTCCTCAGCAAAATTTTATATCGACCATACTATTAAATGCCATCAAGATTTTCTTTCTCGGAATTTGATTTACTTTAATACCTTCTGTGTGTTTTTTCTGGTTTTGCTATTTCACATTGATTATTCCAACAGTGGAGAACTTGAACCCCAAAGTTCGTAAAGTTTAAAAGCCTGTGTATAGGGTTCTGGGGGGAGAGATCTCTGGAGATTCCCCACCCCCCACCAATATCCCAAAGGGGTTTACTGTCCCCTATAGAAAATGTCGAAGGCATGGGCTCAGATCTTGAGCGGTCCATGAGAAACCATTGGATTCATGCGGCGTTAAGCTGTTCCTCTGGACGTTGCACTGTGCTCCGGCTCCCTGGAAGTGCACCTCTGTTGAAGCTATCCTAACCGAGACTCATCCTAGCTAGTACGTGCTGGAGGAGAATCCATCTTGAAGCTGTATTACTATTTTCCAAGGATTCTTTGTGCCGCTGGAAGGGGAACAATGTCTGTTCTCCCTACCCTGGGCCCAGTCAATCTTCTGTCTCCCAAATATGAACCCATGGGATCTGAGCAGATGTTCTGGCCCTGTAAATCTGTCATCTTGCACTGTTACAGTAGTTTCCTTCTGTGCAGTTTACAAGAAGTAAAACTTTAATGAACAGTTGATTTGAAAAACAAACTTCCGTGGAACCTGGAGGGACAGGTACAACAAAGCTTTACGAGAGTCCTACTAGTGAGTGAAATATAACGTTTCTCTTTAAACTGGAGAAGCACAAAAGCATCTCCGCAAAGATGTGTGCTAGACTGTGCATGTGATACGAATTCATTTGACCTCTCCATAACAAATACTTTTTCCTCTTAGGAGTTCACCTCTATTATGTTGGAGGAGAAGTGTATGCCGAATGCCTTAGTGACAGCAGTATTTTTGTTCAAAGTCGAAACTGCAACTACCACCATGGGTTCCATCCAACCACAGTTTGTAAAATTCCCAGCGGCTGCAGTTTGAAAATTTTCAACAACCAAGAGTTTGCGCAGCTTCTGGCTCAATCGGTGAACCATGGCTTTGAAACAGTGTACGAGCTTACTAAGATGTGCACTATCCGTATGAGTTTTGTAAAGGTAGGTAAGAGTTCAGTTGGGCTTGTGTTTTGTAAGCAAAAGAATATTCCCTTTTGAATCTCGTTAAATAATTCTAGTGCGAACAGTTCCATTTCATGCCTTTATATTGGAAAAGTTCCCCTATCAACAATGACATTGATTGTAAATGTGTGTTATATTTTATAAACACTTTCTCTATAAAACAAAAGCTGTATGCATGTCCTCAAACATACAAAGCTATCCGTTTGGACAAACATCGTTTTGTTGGTGTGCAGAATTTTAAAATCAAAGGTACATTCCGTAGGTTCTTGGTTTCAGATTTCTTCCCATTACATGTTTTTGTAGGTTTGATAATGGCACAATTAAGTAGTTTCCATCATGCCTAGCAACTATTCTTACTGCCTCAATAGAATGTTACATTAGAAGAGGGCTGGGCAAACTTTTTGGCCTGAGGGCACATCTGGATGGGGAAATTGCACGCAGGGCCATGAATGTAGCGTTAGGGCAGGGGGTTGGGGTGTGGGAGGGGGTGCAGTATGCAGAAATGGGCTCAGGACAAGGGGTTGGGGCACAGGAGGGGTGCGGGGTGTAAAAGGGGGCTCAGGGCAGGGGGTTGGGGCGCAGAAGAGAGTGTGGAAGGGGGCTCAGGGCAGGGGGTTGGGGCACAGGAGGGATTCTGGGTTTGGGATTTGGGGTGCGGGCTCCGGCCTGGTTCCACTTACCTTGGGTGGCTCCAGGGTGGCAGCAGCATGCAGCAGGGCTAAGGCAGTCTCCCTGCCTGCCCTGGTCCCGCGCCGCTCCCAGAAGTGGCCAGCTTGTCCGGCAGTGGTTCCTGGGGGTGAGGCGGGACAGGCGGTTCCTCCCTGCCCTTGCCTGTGGGTACCACACCCAAAGCTCCCATTGGCCATGGTTCCCTGTTCCCGGCCAATGGGAGCTGTGCGGGCGGCGCCTGCAGGCAAGGGCAGTGCACAGAACCCTCTGCCTCCCACGCTGCCTCCTCCAGGGCCCGCAGGGACATGGTGCCAGCCGCTTCCGGGAGCGGCGCGGGGGCCAGGGCAGGCAGGGAGCCTGCCTTAGCCCCGCAGCGCCACGGGGTTGGCAATCCCGTGGGCCGGATCCAAAGCCCTGATGGGCCGGATCCAGCCCATGGGCCGCAGTTTGCCCACCCCTGCATTAGAATCATAGAAATGTAGGGGTGAGAAGGGACCCTGGGAGGTCATCACTTCAGCCCCCTGCACTGAGGCAGGACCAACTAAACCTAAATGTCTGTGACAGGTTCTTAAGAAACAGATTCCTCTGACTTCTTAAAAACCTCCCAAGGATGCGGATTCCACAGCTTCCCTTGGAGGACTATTCCAGTGCTTAACTACCCTTATGGTTAGAAAGTTTTTCCTAATGTCTAACCTAAATCTCCTTTGCAGCAGATTAAGCCCCTTGCTATTTGTCCTACTGTCAGGGGATGTGGAGAACAACTGATCTGTCATCTAACAGCCTTTAACATATTTGAAAATAGTTATCAGGTCCCCCTCAGTTGTCTTTACACAACACTAAACATGCACAGTTTTTTAATCTTTTCTCATTGGTCAGGTTTTCTGAATTTTTAGCATTTTTGTGGCGCTCCTCTCCATTTACCCAGTGTTTAATCCACTTCTCCAAGAGTGTTTATGAACAGAGTTGATGCACAGTGGGTCAAGTTAAAGTTTGGTAATTAACAAGCAACTTTTCCAGGCTTTGTCTTTTCCATGCCCTTCAAATAACCACATTGTATTCAGTAACAATCTCCTACTGTCTGAAGGATCAGAATTGTGAAGTGGTGGGCATTTCTTGGTCAGAATAGCTGGGACTGTCATGTAAGTGATTGGAAGATGGGTAGCTTTGTTCCCTGGGGTCTGTCTGGTGATTAGAAATTCTATAAACAAAGTGCATACCATTCTGTTCTCAGAGTACATGTAAGGATTGTAGCAATGATGTGAGGGACAGAAGTGTGGATCGGGATAAAAGGATCAGTGGCGTGAGGGACAGAAATGTGGATCAGTCAAATATTTCAAGACTGCCAGATTAATTGCGCAGTATCCTAAAATGGTGGCTTAAAGGGATAAGGTGACTTCTTTGTGCACATGCCTTACGGGTTAATCTGAGGTTAATACAAAATATTTTTTTTTTACTCTTGATTCCTGTGGTCCATCCACAGCCCTTCCCAAAAAAGATAATTTACTTTATCAAACTACACAATGAACTTTGTTAGATTTCTTTCCAGATAATTAGTAAATCTTATAACTGACTCAGTTTTAGCTAAAAGAGAACCCATCGGTGCTCGACCTGTTAATTTAGGAAATATCAGCCCATCTAGGATATGACCAGTGCCACCTTTCTCCCCCAAAATTGTCCAGTTTAACAACACCTTCTTCTTGTGTACACTACTTTCTTCCATTGGCTGTTTTTATAGCTACAAGAGTGCCCGAGATGTTTTGGGAATCTTTATCTGTTTCAGTACTCCCATCCTTCCTGTGAAGAAACCTTGGCCCTAGCTGCATGGAGTAGAGTTCCCACCTTAATGTTGATCCATGATGCCTTGTTTTTATGCCTGTTAATTTGTTTGGCAGTGTATCTTCCCATCTCACTCTTTTTAGTCTTAGTACATGAGGTTTCTTCAGTCTTTTTCTAGAGGCCTTATGGGATTCCAGTAGCTCTTATCTTCAATCCTTTTACCTGTACCTCTCGAGAAGTGCAAAAATACACAAACATGGTAGCCTCAATCCTGTTTGTATTTCATTGTTTTTAATCAGTTATACTTCCCTCTCCTCCAAGAGAATACTGCATCCTGCCTCCCTCCATGTCCTCTGGAAGAGGAGAGACTTGCGGGGAATCTTCAGTAGGACTAGGACTACCATGGGCAACACGAGCCATGGGTTTGGGAGTCAAAGAGCTTCCTTGCATTTTAATGTTAGATCTGCAAAATGCATTGCTATATGAATCTGCTATAGGACTCCCCTTTGAGTCAGTATAAACAGGTGTGAAAATGAATGTCACCTTGTGAAAAAATCAAAATCAATATTTGCTTTGGGATTCATAATGGGACACATGGAGCCTTTCCTCTTCTAGGTTACTATTTCCTATTCAGCCCAGGTCAGTACTGAGTGAAAGCTGAAGATGATGTTCACTGGCTGATGGACCTGAGTTTGTGGGCTTAATCCAGTTTCTAGTGCACAGATGTCCATTATTTAAAAAAAAAAAATATCCAGCCTCAGACTTTGCACTAATTACACCCTTGTGGCAGTCACATTAGAGAAGGCAAGGACCAAAAAGGCATGGGGGCTGAGCTGTCCACGCACCCTGTTTGTTTGCCCTAGGAAAATAACCTCAGGTTGGTAACTTGGTCAACAAACCCCCCAAAGGGCCCCTAGCTCTTCCACAGGTGTTGAAAACAGTTTGACTACTAGTATATGTTGAGCCAAACTGTTTTTAATGCTATAGTATTCTAACATTCTATTATGAAAGTAATGCACACTTTCTGCTATGGTATTAAAAATGGTTTGGCCCCACATACTCTAATAGTCAGATTGTCTGCCTGTAAGGCCAAACCATTTTTAACACCCATGTCAGAAGGTGTGCACCACTTTCATTACAGAACGCTTTCTGCCATGGTGTTCTAAAATGTTCTGGTCCCCACATGCAGTGGTACCTGAACTGTTCAGTACCAAGGTCATTGGCGAGGGGGTGGAGAGAGATTGTTCATAGGTCGCTTCCCTAGTGTAGATGGAATCCAGAAGAGTGGTGTCTCAAGGGCAACATAGGGGCATACTGGCTGGGGGATATGGGGAAGCATGCATTACCATTGCCAAATTTGAAGTGAGACTTCAGTTTTCAAGTATCTGTCTGTCACCTTACCCAGATTCTCTTAAATCTGCTTCAGATTCACATGGGGAAATGTGGTAACATAACTCATGCAAAAATGGTTCCTCAACCGTGGTAACCTCCACCTGTGAGGCTAGGTTATATCTGTTGCCTTTGTACTATATAAAATGAGAGAGAAGCATTTTCCACTTCCTTGACATGGTAAAATAAGGTAAAAGTAATAACTTTTCTATGTGATTTTTGTTTGTAGGGTTGGGGAGCCGAATATCATCGCCAAGATGTAACGAGCACTCCATGCTGGATTGAGATACACCTGCATGGTCCCCTTCAGTGGCTGGATAAAGTTCTTACCCAGATGGGCTCACCTCATAATCCTATTTCCTCTGTGTCTTAAAGGGTCCCAAGCTTCTGCAGTTTGGAAACTATTGAGCCTTGCATGTACTTGAAGGATGTATGAGTCAGACACATTTATGAACTGGCAGCAGCTGAATAAGAGCCTTGATAATACTTGACCTCTGTGACCAACTTTTGGATTCAGGGAAAAAGCGCAAAAAAAAAGCCTTTAACACACTGTTGGTGTCAAAAATTTCAGTTTACATTGTACCCGTCTCTTGTAAAATTGATACATGCAAATTGTTTAGCAGGACTTTGTGTAATAGGGATGACCAAGCTAATAATCTTTTAGACAGTGTTCCCAAGGAATCTTCCTTGGCACTCTGAGGTTACCTTTCTTTTATATGTTCAGCATTCATTATGTTCTCTGGGGTTGATAGTCCATATTGATGAAGTCTGCTTTCCACAGGCTTTCTACAAAATATTTTAAAACCATTTGTCTAGTAATAGTTTGCTGTTCTCTTGAAAGAAAGAAATAATGGGGTGGGAGGTTTAATCATGGTCATGTGTAATAATCTTTATGAAATTGTGTACTGACCATACTGCTGTAAGAATAATGTTAGGTATGCTCTTTGCTAAATGTATGTACAGTGTATTTGAAAGTTTAGAATTAATTCGCTTGGACTAGAGGATTTAGGAATATTTGACTGGGGAAAAGGGGAGGGGGAAATGGCAATTGACATGCAGAATATACTGTAAACATAGCTTGTTAGTTTAAAGAAATGAAACAGAGGTCTGAACTTTGCTGTGCATTTCATTAATTTTTTTTATAGTGGCTTTATCTTGTTAACTCTGATTATTTTTGCCTCTTCCCTCCCCCCAAAAACAGTTTATGTAGCTGGTTAATTCATATAGTTGAGAAGAAGGCAAAATTAATCATTCCTGCGGTCCTGAGACTGCAGCTCTGTATATTTCAAGACAAATTGTACAGTCTGTTCTTGAATTATTGAGCGATTTTAGGCAGTTTACATAAAAGAAGTAAACTTTTAATTGTGTAAAAGAATTTTGTTTTGCCAAACCTAGTAACTGTTAAATGTTTGGAGGATTTAAAAACCCTGTTTGGATCTATTTCAAACTTTTTTTAAAAAAATATTTTTAATTTTTTTACTGGTTTTTGTTTTTGTTTTCTGCTAATCTTTTATATTCACTTACTCTGTAGTACTTTAAGTACTTTTATTCCAAAACTAGTGGGTCTTCTTTACTGGAAGTTTTAAATAAAACCATTGTTATTGCTTACTTTGATTAATGCCTTGTCTTGTCTATTTCTTGGCAGCTTTATAACAACCCAGAAAAAAAGATTCTCTTGGATAATACTGCTTCAAATGGAAAAAAAATTTACTCTGCGTTTTAACTTCTGATGCCGCTTGGTAGCAATGTTAAGTCAGTACTGGTGATGAGAGATTTTTGTGGGGGAGATGGATTTCTTCATTAGGTGAGAATAGAATAGATTCAGTGGAACTAATGTGCCCATATAACTTAATAGACTTTCACTGATTTCCCTTTGCCCGCCCCCCTTCCCCAAGTATGGAATATCTGCAGAAACTTTATTTACCTCCAGTGAGGATGGATCAGAGATTTGGGTCTAAACTGCCACTTTTCCACCCTTTACTGGAGATGCATCGGATGAAGTGAGCTGTAGCTCACGAAAGCTTAGGCTCAAATAAATTGGTTAGTCTCTAAGGTGCCACAAGTACTCCTTTTCTTATTGGAATTAAAGTGTACCCACAGCAGCTTCTTATGCCATTCTCTGGCACAGTGGACAGCATTTGTCTTTTCTTTTTCCATTGGTTGTGAAATGCTTTAATTTTTCTTGTTTGTCCCCCAGTTGTCATTTCCCCCATACATGCTGTCACCCAAAGTCTACAAGATGCTCCAGGTGGGGGAATCACTGATAGCATCAGGCTGCCCCTGAGCTGAGTGGGAATAGAGAAGGGAAACTTGGATCAGTGGGTTGCTGCCAGAGCCTGATGTACGTTTTACTGTTCTGCTCCCTACAGTGAGCCAGAAGAAGCAGTGGGAGGAGAAATAGCTTTCCAAGATCCATATGCTGCTTTATCCACAGTAGTGGGAGCACTGGAAAGTGAAGAGCTGGATGGATCTGAGGTTATGCAGTCACCTCCTCTTGATTTCTTGTCTTTGATTCTGTTCCTGCCTTAGACTAGTCTGGTAGCCTCCTTCCCCAGGTAGACAATTGCTTTGAACTGCAAAGCCTTGGTGGCAGGATTCTGGATTTACTAGTGGTAAATCTCCCCGGGGCGGGGAAGAAAGACGCAAACCCTAGCAATCCTTGTGATCAGTTGAAGAAAAATGCACCATTGATCAGGGAGAGGAGAGCAAATAAGATGTTAAACTGTAATTAATCCTGGGGTTAGAGAATAATATTGTCAGCACTTGTATTCAGTCTCTCATCTCAATTCAAATGTGACAGCAAAGATCCAAAAAAGGGCACTGTAAAAATCTTTGGTGGCATTTGTGGGAGGGAAGTTTTCATACTAGCAGAGACAAGGGAAATACACTGATCTAGTTTTTGAAGGAGGTAGGATCTGGTGTGTGGTGAGGGGTTAATATAGTTGGGGTAGGTAGCACTGCCTATTAAGGTTGCCAAACACTTTCCATTACAAGACCCTTCTGTCAGTTGCTTATAACTTTGCCAAACTTAAACTCTTTGGACTTAAACTTTCCATTTCAGGTGTCTGCCTCATGCTAAACCTTTTTGGAAGGTCTGGCATTTTTGAGAATGAGGCTATGGAAAAATAGTTTGTTTTGCCCATGATAAAGTCTTGAGAGCTTTTCTTTGAAATGCTCTAGTGTCCCCATGCTTTGGAGCAAGGACTCAGAATTTGGCAAGGGCCTGGCTTTTGTGTCCAAGATGTTCCTTTTTGCCATCCCGGTGAAAATGTCCAAATGTTGGCCTAGTTATAAGCCTTTGAAAAATCCACAATTTGTGCATTTTCCATAGGAACTTTTTCCCCCTTTTTTTTTTTAATAAAGCAGCTAAAATTTCCAAAGTTTGTCCTCACTGACCTTGCACCATCCCCCTCACAGTTCCTGGTGCCAACTTTGTATGTGCCGTTCCTACAGAGCAGTGAGGCATGCTCCAGCCCAGGGCTATGGAACTCAGAAGGACTTTTCCTGAAATTGCTGCTCTGGGCCACGGAGGGACTGGGCACCAGAACTGAGCAGGGAGGAGCCTCTCTCTCCTGTGCTTTCAGTTGCTCCACTCCCAGCTGGCAGTATGGAGGAGAAAGTGCCTGATATAAATTCAGAGGCAACAACAACAACAAAAAACTTGGATGGGAGAGGGAAAGGAGTAGGTGGTGAGGCTGGGACTATGGGAGAAAGAAATAATGATTCGTAGTTGGAGCAAGGGAGGCTGACTTAAAGTAGGAACCAGTGTGGGAAGGCCGGGGGGCAGGGGAGGGGGTGAGAGCTCTGACAAGGAGTTGAGGTATTGGGGCAGAACTGGGACTAGCTGGACAAAGACACTGGATAAAGAAGTTTGGGGTGGGAGAGACATTGAGATTGGGTGAGGAGCCTGGAGAAAAAGAAATTGGGACAGGGAGCACAGCAATCTTAATTCTGGCATTTCCTAACTTGAATGCTTGACTTTGTAACCTTAATCCTCTTTTACTACAGTTTTTTGTGTGTAATATATAAGAACAAAAAACAAATTGTGTAGCCTAGAGGAGGCCAGTTGGATATTTTCTTTCAGCCCCCTAAAAAAAGCAGGCCCTAGGTGTAAACCATGTCTAAATTTTTGTTTTTACTAAACTTCCTCATATTGGAGTGCTGCTATAATGAAGCTTTAACGTGTTATAAACCCAGAGCCTGATTCTCCACTCAGGTATGCCACTGTAATTCCGTTGACTAAATAGAGTTACGCTGGCATAAAACTGGTATAATAGGGTGGGGAAGAGTGAGGCCTGGATCTTACTTGTGTAAATAAGACCGAGCTGTGTTGCAAAGGCTGGGGCACAATCCTTACATGGAGCTTCATAAGAGTAAGACATTGTGTAGATGGGGCCTAAAAGGTAATTCAGTTAGAATGAATACAAAATATTATTTTGCCTCTTTTTCGTTTCCTTTTTGTAGCATGTAAAAAAAGCCTGTAAGGTGGTGTGCTGAATTGTTAAAGGTGTGTGTTCTACTTGTTTTTTACATTAGAAATTAATTTCCTGTCTAGCCTGGAATCCACTGATGACTAGAGAACTAGTGAAATGATGTGGTGAGATCACAAGAATGAGAGTGAAAGCTGAGCATCGGAGACTTGAATGCGTGTTTAGTCAGATGGTTTGAAATTTTCTTTTTCACTGTGAATGCTTAACTTAAGTGAATTACCGTTTTAGAGGTTATTGAATCAATCCTTACTGGTTTAATAAAGGTTTGCAAACTAATGGTCTATATAGTCTAAGATGTCCAGAAGGTCTTCCAGGTATTTTATTTTAGGGAGATCAGAATTTGATTTTCCTGATGTTTCAGAAAATTTAAAATAAAAACAAAAAAACCAGACTTTTGTTTTTTCCAAAAACAATTCAGGCACTTTTTATATATATATAATATAAAAAATAAATAAACAATAATGGACATAAACCTAATTCTTAAATCTGGACGCACAATTTCTGGACACATTTAAAAGGGAGTGAATGATACTGCTGAATAAATGTGATCTTTTCACTCTTTCCAGCCCTCCAATCTCTGTGCTGAGATGTTCCCAACAGCTGCATTTGTTGAGAGGTATATTCAGTATTGCACTTGATGGTGGCCTTTGTAAGGAGAGTAATATTACAATAAGTGATGCACAGCTTGAGGACAAGATTTTTTCCATTTGGATCAATCCAAACAAGTTTTGGAGAACTCTACAATGATCTTGGACCAAAGGGTGGTTTCACTGGGAGTTCTTGACTACATTGCACCATGTAACCTTTCTAATAATCAAAAAGATAACTTTGCTAGTATTTTAATAATAATTTTACAAAATGTATAACATTTTTTTCCAAATAGTTTGGGATGTCTGAGGCAGTGGGAGTGAGATTTGTCTGATGTACAATTTGATGAAGATATAAGTAACTTGGAAGGATTTTGAAACCTCCTTTGGAAAGCCTTCCTTTTGAAAATTTAAAACAAATAGTGTTAGTGTTCCCTTATATATTTGAAACCTGTCTTCCTTCCTTCCATATTGAAGTACTGTATCAGGGTTCTTAGTCTCCTGATGTCACTGCTGTTCTATAAACTGCATTTTGAGGCCCCATCTCTTTGACTATATTGAAGTAATTCTCCAGCATGGCTATTCCTAAACTTGAATTCAGAAATGCATAAAATGTTTTCTGTTTGGAGTACAGTCTCATTCAAAGATTTTGACTGGAGCTGTTTTTGTAGGTCACAATCTTTGTGACATCGCCTTCAACTACACCTTCTCTTAGCGATTTCTGCTGCTATTTATTTGTAATTGTAGTGTATTTCAAAAACACATTGTCAAGGTTCCTCCCCCACTCTGAACTCTAGGGTACAGATGTGGGGACCTGCATGAAAAACCTCCTAAGCTTATCTTTACCAGCTTAGGTCAAAACTTCCCCAAGGTTCAAAATATTCCACCCTTTGTCCTTGGATTGGCCGCTACCACCACCAAACAAATACTGGTTACTGGGGAAGAGCTGTTTGGAAAAGTCTTTCCCCCCAAAATACTTCCCAAAACCTTGCACCCCACTTCCTGGACAAGGTTTGGTAAAAAGCCTCACCAATTTGCCTAGGTGACTACAGACCCAGACCCTTGGATCTTAAGAACAATGAACAATCCTCCCAACATTTGCACCCCCCGCTTTCCTGGGAAATGTTGGATAAAAAGCCTCACCAATTTGCATAGGTGACCACAGACCCAAACCCTTGGATCTGAGAACAATGAAAAAAACATTCAGTTTTCTTACAAGAAGACTTCTAATAGAAATAGAAGTAAAGAAATCACCTCTGTAAAATCAGGATAGTAGATACCTTACAGGGTAATTAGATTCAAAACATAGAGAACCCCTCTAGGCAAAACCTTAAGTTACAAAAAAGATACATAGACAGAAATAGTTATTCTATTCAGCACAATTCTTTTCTCAGCCATTTAAAGAAATCATAATCTAACACACACCTAGCTAGATTACTTACTAAAAGTTCTAAGACTCCATTCCTGGTCTATCCCCGGCAAAGACAGCATAAAGACAGACACACAGACCCTTTGTTTCTCTCCCTCCTCCCAACTT